ACGAGGTTTTGATGTCTATTTTACCATCGAATCATTTGTTAGTAAAAACTTTAATTACCATAATACCATTATAATAATTTCCAACTAAAAAGTAAATTACGATTTTGCCATATAACATATTTAATAAATCGACGTCACATGAACCAACATACCTTTTTTCAAACATATTTATTTCTTTTTGAGCACAAAATTACTTAGTATTGATTGACTTATAAGTATATCGTCGATTTATTTGACAATTTTTTTCTTTTGACCATAAATTTACTTAATTCTGATGAATTTAATTAGTTTTCAATAAAGAAAAATACCACTATATAGGTTGTTACTGTAAAATATTTAAGAGAATAGGCTGGATTTGAATTAATTAAGCTGTATGACTAACAAATGACCATAACACCATTCTGACGCATAGAGAAACACAACGATTAGACGTTTTGTGTCAATCAGAGATAACTATAACACACCATAAGCGGCACTAACACAAAAAATCATAAAGTAACAATTTTCTCTTTCATCATTTTGTTTTTCTATTTGATTTTGATTGATCTAATACTTTATTTAAAAGTTAAATTATTTTATCATATTTGTATATATAAAAACAGCAATTTTTCTTACATATCTTACAATTTGAAAATTTAAAAATTAACATATATTACACAAACTATTTACATAACAGTGTAATAAAACAAAATATTATATATGACATTCCATATATAATATTTGTGATTACTCAACCTATTTATAATGTCAGAATAAAACGTAGTATAATATGCTATATATAGTATATTTATATGGTATAACATGTCATGTATTAATATGGTATGCTATATTATAATCATACAAATCATATATTTGTATTGTATTTCATGTTAAATTAAATGTATAGCATGTTATATAATGTATAACATACCATATATTATCATAGTATGCCATATTATTATTACACAAAAATAGTATCGTATAGCAAGTTATATTAAATATAGTATTCTATATACAATATAATATGTCATATATTAACATGGTATTGCCATGTTATTATTATATGTATCATATGTTTTGTTTTGTTACATACTACTAAACTGAGCAATATGTTTTGAATATTATATAATATGATATTACATGTTATATGGTATATATCATGTTATAATAATATGGTATTATATAGTAAATAACATGATATATGGTATATTACGTTTTGTTAAAAAAATGGTATATTACGTTTCATAGCAACATTATATATATAGT